GCCCAGTCTGTTAGGTTGATTCACAAACAATGGAACATTTGTTCCTGTACTGCCCGGCGGCGCGTGCTCTTTGGGACCAATCGGGCCTGGAATACTTTGGTCAAGGGATACCTCGTCATACTTTCCCGCTCTTCATAAAAAGGTTGATGGCTCTGATTCATCAGCCCTCTCTATTCATTGCAGTGGTTGCGATCCTTTGGAGGATCTGGCGATCGCGAAATTGGGTGGTGATTGAGGGTAAGCAATTTGGTTTTCCTGCTTTGATGCGTCAGTTTAACCAGCAATACGAAGAGTGGGTAAATTTTCTGGTGGACCGCATACTTCAGTCTTCCACTCCTATGTTGCATGATTTAGGGCCTAGCTGGACTAATTTGGCCGTGTGTATGTGGGATGGTGCTACAAGGAGTGGGTCCCACTCGGTCGGCGGGATGGTTAGTATGAACCATGCCAGGGAAGTCATTTTAGCTAATGGGGTTCAATTCCCAATGATTGATGACCCGATGGTGGTTGAGCTGCTGGTACTTAGGGAGTCGATTTTTTTGGTGTCTTTATCATGGCTTCACAGAGATTAGGTTCGAGGGAGATGCTAAAGTGGTCATCGATAAAATCAATCAGAAGGTTACCAGTGATGGCCGAATGGGGTTAATTTTGGAAGAAGTCGTGCAATACTTTGTCAATCATTCTGGGCTTAGTGTTCGATTTGTAGTTCGGAGTCGCAATAGGGTAGCCCATTTGGTGGCTAGAAAGGCCCTCTCTTTGTACCCGACTATGAGTTGTTTACTTGATTTCTAGACCTGGCTGAACTCCGGGATGTAACTATCTTTTTTTCGAATCAATATATGATCATCTTTTGTAAAAAAAAAAAGAATATTCTACCAATAGAAATTTGTATGCTACCGATTTTATGTCCGGTTTTAGACCGATTAATCAGCGATTATCCGATAAACCTTAAACCTTTCGCTAATCCGGATGGTTGCCCGGTTCGGTTTTGACAACACAGGAAATAACTGACATTGCATTAATTTTATCTAGCTCGGTCAAGTGTTATAGTAAGAGAGCTCTTCTATTATACTATGATATTCTTAGGTATAAATTACGGGGCCGTTTGGAAGTTGAGATTCTTCAAATATGTTTATTTTGACGAATACATGTATTGTAAATACAAATATTGTATATATTAGATGATTGGAAGAATGTCTTGTTTGTTTATAGTCAGTAAAAAAAATTAAAGAAAAGGAAAAAAATCAATTTATGAGCTAAAAGTGGAACAAATTAAAGCCCGAAATCTCAAAGGAAGAATCTCACAATTTTTGTTGGGCTAAATTACATGTTTGGTCACTCGAATTATATGAATCTTTCACGTTTGCCACCCGAATTATTTTTCTTTCTTATTCACCACTAACTTTACGAATCGTTTCACTGTTAGTCACCGGCCGTTACACTCCGTTAAATTTGTCCTACGTGGCAGTCAACTATAAAGTTTGACTGTTAACTAGATGACGTGGAAATTAAAAAAAAATAAAAAAATCAATTTATTTTTCCAACTCATCATTTCACTCTATGATTTATCATATCACTTATTCAATAAAATTAATTAAATTGCAAAAAAAAAAAGATTAATTTATTCTCCACCGGATCCGACGGACGCCGTTGTGCGCAACCGCATTCGCGGTCCCGATGGCGCCGCCGCCGCAGAGGAAGACGGTGGCCTTGATTGCGATTTGCGGTGCCGATTCGAAGAGTGACGGTTGGCGGATTAGGAAGGAAGGGAAGGGGAGGAACTGGTGGAGCGCGTCGAGTTGCAGTCTTGCAGATTTGGACAACCTTCCGATTCGATGAGAACGGAACACCCTCGTCGTCACAACGGACGATGGGAAGCGAGTTGGCTGCAGATTTGGACAACCTTCCGGCCAGAAGGTAGAAGCGGGTGAGAGCCTTGGCGAGTGACGATTGGGTCGGATTTGATGGGTGATTGAGGACAATGATTTGTTGAGGGGTGGGGGTTGATTGTCCGGCCATAGAGCAGCGGGTAGTTTTGGGTGGAGAATTCATTAAGGGAGTTCGCTAGGTTCGGCGGCAGCTATGGAGAAGTTGGGGGAAGGGGAGGGGAGGTTCGATAGGGGAAGGGGATTTTGGGTTCGGTTGGGGGCAAAGGGAAAAAGGGTCTTGATTATTGAGTAGGGATTGTGGATGAATTTAAAATGTAGGCTTCAATTAAAATTAAATTAATAATATTATTTGTTTTGTAAATTAATTATTTTTTATTAAGTAAATAACATGATAAAAACGGATGATGAGAGTGACAAACTATTAAACTAAGTGGAATGATGAGGTGGACAAATATATTGATTTATTTTTATTTTTTTAATTTCCACGTCATCTAGGTAACAGTCAAACTTTATAGTTGACTGCCACGTAGGACAAATTTAATGGAGTGTAACGGCCGGTGACTAACGGTGAAACGGTTCGTAAAGTTAGTGGTGAATAAGAAAGAAAAGTAATTCGGGTGGCAAACGTGAAAGATTCATGTAATTCGAGTGACCAAACATGTAATTTAGCCTTTTTTGTTGAGATTTAAAATGAGTGATTGTGGGTGATATGAGATTGGAGGGCCCACCTCAAATGCATGTATTGAATAAAGTTTTGGAACAAAAAAAGATGTATTCTCCAGAATACATGAATTCAAACAATCATTCATTTAGATGTGAACCAAAATGAGATGTGAACCAAATTGACTTTGAAGTTTAATAAAATTAAATGATTATATCATAATTAATTGAAATACAGTATCTTTTGAATATTTTTTAAAATAAATTATTTATTATCTCTCTAATTTTTTGTATTCTCATTAAGATCATTTTCAATTGTTATCATAACTATTCCATTAAGATTTTTTTAGTACAAATAGGAGTTTTGTAACACAAATAATACTTTAACAATCAATATATGGTAGTATATATATATACATATGAGAATATCAACCAATAACTTGCACTAATATTAATTATATAATTAAACTCATTATCATACTCATAATCAATTAATTATACACTGCAAACAACTAGGGCTGCAAATGAGCCGAGTCGAGCCGAGCTTTACTCCAGCTTGAGTTTGGCTCGTTAATAAACGAGTTGAGCTCGAGGTCGAGCCATTTATTAACGAGCCGAGTCGAGTCAAGCTCGAGCTAGACTTGTTTAATAAAATCTTGAGTCGTATTTGATATTTCATTTTGAATATCATGTATGTTACATGTGATTGATGTCTAGATGGAAAAAAAATAATAGTCAAATGCTCAATATTAACTAATATCATATTATAATTTTTTGGTATCATATTATGTAATAAATATTAACTAGTCCAAATCATGTTATTTAACCGTATAGAAGCAATATGTGATATAAAATCTCTTTTTAAAGTAAAAAAATAATGCATGTCTGCTCACATACTCAGCGTGTTAAATTTCATATCGTGTGAGATATATAATTTAACAATTATATGAATTAAACTCATAAGATATAGATCGATTCACCCATAAGTCGGTAATCAAGTTGGCTTTATACCCACAATGTGAGACATCTAATAATATATAAGCTCTAAACAAGCAAGCTCATTGAGTTTAGCTCAACAAGCCAGCGAATCTAGCTAGCTCGCGAACTTCACGGACAGAACAAGGCTTAGCTCATGCTCGGCTCGTTAATAAACGAGTCGAGTCTCGAACGAGCTTTCCCCGAGTCTAACGTCGAGCCGCTCGCGAGCAGCCGACTCATTTGCAACCCTACAAACAACCTATAATATACAAACGGATTAACTAACAAACCTAGGAGGAGGCCCCCTAAATATTTGGAGGCCTGGTGCAGGAGGGCCTCCTAGCACACCCTCTTGGTCGGATCTGAAATTTATATTATTAAAAGTACAAGTTCAATTTTATCCTAAATAAATTTATACATTTTTATATATCTCAAATATCGATAATAATTATCATATTTAGCCTGATCGCATTCATGTTAGATTACATTTTAACTCATATGCAGTTACTATTAAGTGTGAGACTCCATCTTTTGAATAAGTTACTGCATTGCTCACATCATTATATCTTCTTTTCATCTAAAAAAGTGTTTTTTCTTGGTTTTCTCATAGAAAAAACGTGTTGCATTTCCTTTATTCTAATCACTAGGGTGAGCTTTAGCCAATGGGCTCAAATCAATTCCCTCTAAATCCAACTAGGACCGAGCAAAAAATAGAGGTAAAATGAAGATCAGAATCAAACAAAAGGTGTGTTTGGTGCATTTGAGATAGTCTTGTTCAACCAAAATTTCAATCCACTTTTCATTTATAAGTTAAAAAATTCATGAAATAAAAATTAAAATCAAATCATAATCGGTCCGATCCAATTTGAATCAAATATTCATCTATTGCAATTATGTTCGGTGTACACTGAATCATCAAATCATATTCGGTCCGATCCAATTTGAATCAAATATTCATCTACTGCAATTATGTTTGGTGTACAGTGAATCATAGCTCACCCTTACCAATCAAAAATCAAAATGGACCGATCTGTTAGAATTCATGTCAATCATAAAGAATTGCTCGATGTGAACCATCCTCCATGCAAGAAGATTTGAGCATTGATGTACCCACTTCGTCGTGGTCTTTCTATCTTGATTGTAAGTTCAAACCATTTTATACATGGTTCTAGACGACCCAAACGAAAAGTTTTACAAACACATAGATTGTGACCGTTATGTAATTCCAAAAATCAGTTTAAGATTAAGAATAAAAAGTTCGATGAACGTATTGATTAGTGATCGGGCCAAAGTTGAATGACCGTTTAGGTAATTGACCCTCCAGCTCCAAACGAAGGGGGATAGGAAAGTGGGTAAGGCCATACATGTTTGAATGAACCCCACCACCCCCAAAGACTTTTCGTTGATTCGTTGTTTATAATTCTACTCCAACAATCCCCCCCTTCCGAAAAGAAATAATCAAAACTAAAAATTCAGAAAGTTCCTCCCGCATATATATACTGATCTTCCAAAGCTTTCTTCTCCAACCAAAACTCAACCCGCTCTCTCCTTCCGCCAAAAAGAGAAGGCAGAAAAGGGCAAGTATTCAGAGAGACGGAAGAGCGTAAGAGAGAAAAGTTCAACGCAAAAAAAAAAAGCCACAGACTTTCCGGTCTAGCTCCCAAATTTTGTTAGGTGGTAGCGAGCAGAAATTCGTCCTAGTGATTTGCTGCAACTCGGTGAGTTCCTCTGTTTTTTTTTCTTTTTCTTTAATGCTCCCTTTTTCCTTTCCCCGCTGTTTGGTTCAATGGAAAATGCTCTGCTTTAAATCTTTCTACTGATTCTCCGATTTGCCAAGTGTGCGGCATGCATGAAACATAAAAGACTCCAAACGGTGCTCAATTCAATCCAGCATTAACACACACACACAAAAAAAAAAAAAAAGATTCAAACTTTGACAGATTCGGTTTCTTGTTTTCCCACAGGCAGAGCATATATAATTTCCGGGGAGGAAAAAGAGAAACAGAGTACTGAAGTAGGGAAGAAATGGAGGGAACGGAGCGGGCGAGGGCATCGGGTCGGAGGCCGGGTCACAGCATGACCCGAAGCATAAGCCGGAGCCTGAGCCGGGCGAGCTGGGGGATGGAGGAGGTTTTCTCCGCCGGCTCCGGCAGGCACTCCCGGCGGAGCAGCATGCACGCCGACGAGGACGAGGAAGCACTGAAGTGGGCCGCCATCGAGCGCCTCCCGACTTACGACCGCCTCCGAACCACCATCATGAAATCCTTCGTCGAGGATAACAACAACAACAACAGCAATTTTCACAAGCAAATCGACGTCGCCAGGCTGGGCGACACCGACCGCCAGCAGTTCATCGACCAGATATTTAAGGTCGCCGAGGAAGACAACGAGAAGTTCTTGAAGAAGTTCAGACAGAGAATTGACAAGTAATTAATACATACATGCTCTGCTTTTACTCTGCTCTAAATTCCTAGTTTCTTTCCCCTGTTTTCAGCAGAGTTTTTCGCGTTCTTCCTTTGAATTAAAACTAGAGTGTGAACTAATGGAGAAAAGTGGGTCTTAGAATAATGGGGGGTAAAGGTTGTTGGAGGGTCTGAAAGGTCAAGCTAATGGAGGAAAGTGGATGGAAACTTGCAGGGTTGGGATAAAGCTGCCGACGGTGGAAGTAAGGTTCGAGCACTTGACCATAGAGGCCGACTGCTACATCGGCGACAGAGCTCTGCCGACGCTGCCGAACGTGGCGAGGAACATAGTCGAGTCGGGGCTGAACAAGATCGGAATCCATTTGGCCAAACGGACCAAGCTCACCATCCTAAACGATATCTCCGGCATCATCAAACCTTCCAGGTACTTACTTCACCCAAATTTAAATTTAACTCCAGAACTTTACTGTTGGTAAAAAAATAGTGACAGCGACAGCCGTATTATTGAGATATATATGCTGAGTTGGATTTTGTCCGCTTTTAATTATTTTATTTTTATACAAGTTGACGACTTGTTGTTAATTAATAATAACATTTTTGGTGGGGTGTGCATGCAAAAACAAAATGCAGGATGGCATTGTTGTTGGGTCCGCCTTCTTCCGGGAAAACGAGCCTTCTGCTTGCATTGGCCGGGAAATTAGACCCAAGTCTCCAGGTTCATTTGTTAATCTTTCTTTTCACATTTTTAACTGTGGTTTAATTTAATTATTAACTAACTAAGTAAGTGAAATTTTGGCTGCAGGTGAAAGGAGAGATAACTTACAATGGGCTAGGGATGAACGAGTTTGTGCCAAGGAAGACGTCGGCATACATTAGCCAGAACGATGTGCATGTTGCTGAGATGACTGTCAAGGAGACCCTGGACTTTTCTGCTAGGTGCTTAGGTGTCGGGACGCGATACGGTATAATTTTCATTTTAACAAGAATTTACAATCTTTCTTTTTTGTTAATAGAGTCCAAGTGGAGGGATAATGGTTTGTATGATTAATTAACATACCAATTAATCAACTCTTTGCAGACCTTCTAAGTGAGTTGGCAAGGAGAGAGAAGGAAGCTGGGATATTCCCAGAAGCTGAAGTGGACCTTTTCATGAAGGTGACCTAATATACAGAGATTAATTAACTAAAGGGAGATAGATAATAAGATTGCTGAACTTCTTTGACTAGTACTAATTATGAATCTCCTTTTTTTATTATTATTACAGGCAACAGCAATGAAAGGGGTTGAAAACAGCCTCAATACAGATTACACTCTCAAAGTATGGCTTCTACATAATGTTAATTTTGTTCATTTCTCTTGTCCACATCCTATTTATTCATACCTTTTGAGAGCAAAACTATTATGATAATATCTTGTGAGGGAGAGAAAAAAAAAACATTATCATTGGAAAAATCAATTGTGATGTATATAAACCGTTGGCTAGATAGAAATAATCCACCAAACTCATTAGCCACCAAACAAGAAAGAAATAATAATAAAATTGGTTTGAAAGTTTCTCCTTTGTTTGTGTGTTTTCATTTTCAAGAATGTCTTTTTCCACCACCTACCCCAAGTGGGAAGACTAACTAGATATGTTCAAGGGCTTTATTGTTTATACATATTCTCTGGTTTTTACAATATTATATTATGATTGGATGTTATTAGGCCTAATAATACTGGGGGGTTGGTGAACTAATTTTCCTGAAAAATATCAACTTGCTTTCTTACCCTACAAAGTTTAAATAAAATTTTATGTACCATAAAAAAAAAATTGGTGAAAGAAATTGTAAATTTCCCATTTGTACCAATTAAGTTGGCCAATCATGTTCAATCCCTTCAATTATTAATGTTAATTTACTGATTATCATTATCTCTTAATTTTTGCTTCTGCTGCAGATACTTGGGCTTGACATATGCAAGGACACCATTGTAGGAGATGCCATGATAAGAGGAATATCTGGCGGACAAAAGAAAAGAGTCACTACAGGTTTGGTTTGCTAATTAACCTCCTTATTTTCCATTCTAAATAGCTAAGAAGCCCAGACTTGGAGTAATTAGCAGGCCAAATGCATAACAATAATATTCAAATGGCCACCAACCCCCCAAAAATGATTAATTCTTCATCACTTTTCTTCTCCTGTTTCATATTGGTACCGTTGAAAATTCTTGGTCAGAATCTGGGTTACCTTCTGTTCCCATTTATTAATAATTATTATTATTAACATAATTGACCAAACAAAAGATACATTTATATCCACGATTAAACCATGAGCTTCCAATTATCTTCACTTAATACCTGCCCCTAACCATCATTGCATCATTATGAAAACACATGACTTCTATTAGATAATTAGTCAGGTCATTAAACAGTCACACTCACCTAATCAAAAAATTATGCTCGGAAATGGTTTACAGGTGAGATGATCGTGGGGCCCACGAAGACGCTGTTCATGGACGAGATATCGACGGGCCTCGACAGCTCCACAACGTACCAAATCGTGAAGTGCCTGCAGCAGATCGCACACCTCACCGACGCCACCATCTTCATGTCCCTACTCCAGCCCGCTCCAGAGACGTTCGATCTCTTCGATGACATCATCCTCCTATCCGAGGGCCAGATCGTCTACCAGGGCCCACGCGAACACATCCTCGAATTCTTCGCCACGTGTGGCTTCCGCTGCCCCGAACGTAAAGGCACCGCTGATTTCTTGCAAGAGGTGAACATCCCACTTCCCCTTATCATACACTCTCCCGCACAGTAAAGCATCCCCCTCAAGCCCACAACCTCCGTAGGCCTTAAGCCCAAAACTCAAACTGGTGAAAAATCTTGGTTTAATCGTTTGTTCTTACATTTACACCACAGGTCACGTCAAGGAAAGACCAAGAGCAATACTGGGGCCATAGGGACAAGCCATACCAGTTCGTATCAGTGTCCGACTTCGTGGCACATTTCAAGAGGTTCCACGTTGGAATGCGACAGGACAACGAGCTTTCGGTGCCATTCGACAAGTCGCAGGGGCACAAGGCGGCGTTGGTGTACGAGAAGTACACCGTCCCAAAGTTGGACCTGCTAAAGGCTAGCTGGGACAAGGAGTGGCTGCTGATGCAGAGGAACTCGGTGGTCTACATCTCCAAGACCATCCAGATGATCGTCGTCGCTCTGATTGCATCCACCGTGTTCCTTAGGACCAGGATGCACCAAAGGAACGAGGATGATGGAGCTGCATACATTGGTGCATTGATTTTCGCCATGATTCACAACATGTTCAATGGGTTCGCTGAGCTGTCCCTCATGATCAAGAGGCTTCCTGTGTTCTACAAGCAGAGGGATCTGTTGTTCCAGCCCGCGTGGACGTTTACCTTGCCCACGTTCTTGCTCGGGGTGCCTGCTTCGCTGTTGGAGTCCACGGTCTGGATGGTTGTGACTTATTACACCATTGGATATGCTCCTGAAGCTAGCCGGTAAGTGGGGGAAATTGAAAAAAAAAAAAGATGCAATCTCTCATGAGTTTTTTTAAAGGAAAATGAGATGAAGGCGAAATGGTTTCTAATGTTAGAATGATTTTTTGCATTGGCAGGTTCTTCAAGCAGTTTCTGGTGATTTTTCTGATCCAACAAATGGCTGCTGGCACATTTAGGCTCATTGCAGGAGTATGCAGGACATTTATCATTGCCAACACTGGAGGAGCTCTAACTCTTTTGCTTATCTTCTTGCTTGGAGGCTTTCTTCTGCCGAAAGGTTGACATACCTTCTCGCATCTGAAATCAATCACTTTTCTTTGCTTGATGTAAATGATAACAATGCAGTACTAACATAAATCTTTTGATAATTCCATAGGACAAATTCCGGTATGGTGGGAGTGGGCTCACTGGGTCTCACCATTGACGTATGGATACAATGCATTGGCCGTGAATGAAATGACTGCTCCAAGGTGGATGAACCGATTGGTATGTTGCTTGTAAGACTGTTTTTGTATGGGGTTTGGTTTGGGTTTGACAAATAGTAACTAAGAGGTTTTTGTTTTGTGGCTACAGGCATCAAATAACGTCACCAGCTTAGGCATACAAGTGCTTGAGAATTTCGACATTCCAACGAACAAGAACTGGTACTGGATTGGAACAGCCTCTCTTTTAGGATTTGCAGTCCTGACCAATGTCCTCTTCACATTTGCCTTGATGTACTTTAGTCGTAAGTTCTCTCAGCACCATCGATTCGCTCTTTTCCCTTCGGTTTCTGTTCTTTTCCTTTGGAACTTAAGCTGATGTTTAGTCCATGTCTTGAACTTACTACAGCTCCTGGGAAACCACAAGCCGTAATCTCAGAGGAAACTGCAAGAGAAATGGAGGGTGACTCCAAGCGAACTCCAAGGCTCTTGAGGTTGGAGTCAGACAAAGATGCATTGTCTAGATCATTGTCTAGTGCCGACGGAAACAACTCGAGTAAGTGACAAAAAAGAAAAGAGTTGAAACAACTCAAGTACGTGATGAAATTTCAATATTGGGATTGATGGGGAATGTGATTTTTCAGGAGAAATGGCAACGATGAGGATGGGAAGCCACGCCAACAATCGAAACGGCTCGATAAATGGTGATTCCTCAGCTCTAGATACAGCCAGCGGTGTTTCTGCCAAGAGAGGAATGGTCCTTCCTTTCACTCCTCTGGCCATGTCGTTCGACAGTGTCAACTACTATGTAGACATGCCACCAGTAAGTTGAAAATCTCCATCTTTTAGCAAAAGATTCCTTGAGAAGCAAGCAATTGGCTTATAAACTTTGGTTCTGGATATAAATAGGAAATGAAGGAGCAAGGAGTGGCAGAGGACAGGCTTCAATTGCTACGTGAGGTGACAGGCTCGTTCCGTCCTGGAGTCCTCACGGCACTGATGGGAGTTAGTGGTGCTGGAAAGACGACGTTGATGGATGTTCTGGCAGGGAGAAAGACAGGCGGATATATTGAAGGTGACATCAGAATTTCAGGGTTCCCTAAGAAGCAAGAAACTTTTGCAAGAATTTCAGGATACTGTGAGCAGACAGATATCCATTCTCCTCAAGTGACCATAAGAGAATCCTTGATCTTCTCTGCTTTTCTTAGGTTGCCTAAGGAAGTCAGCAAAGAGGAAAAGATGGTAAGTCCTGATAACCTCTACTATCACGTCTCCATTGAAACAATGAGATTAGAAAAGAATTCTCAGTGCTGAAATGGATGTTTTGTTCATTGTGCTCAGAAATTTGTTGATGAGGTGATGGAATTGGTGGAGCTGGAGAGTCTGAAAGATGCCATTGTCGGGCTTCCGGGGGTTTCTGGTTTATCGACTGAACAAAGGAAGAGGCTGACAATTGCAGTGGAGCTTGTTGCCAATCCTTCAATCATTTTCATGGATGAACCAACATCTGGTCTTGATGCAAGAGCTGCTGCTATTGTCATGAGAACCGTTAGAAACACTGTGGACACTGGGAGAACAGTTGTTTGCACCATTCACCAGCCTAGCATTGACATCTTTGAAGCTTTCGACGAGTTGTTGTTGATGAAGAGAGGAGGACAAGTGATCTACGCAGGACCATTAGGCCGAAACTCCCACAAGATTGTTGAGTACTTTGAGGTAAGCAATACTCTTTTTTACTTTCTTCATCACATTGATTTGAGCTTTTATTTTGAGGTTAATGTTCACACTTCTATTGCAGTCGATTCCCGGAGTCCCTAAAATCAAAGACATGTACAATCCAGCCACTTGGATGCTTGAAGTCAGCTCAATATCAGCTGAGGTTCGCCTTGGAATGGACTTTGCGGAGCATTACAAACAATCATCATTGGCCCAGTAAGTTGCTCAAAGCCATACAAACTTTCCCTCATTTTTCACATGCTTTAGACCTGAATCCTAACTTCAATTTTCTATGCAGGAGGAACAAGGCATTAGTGAAGGAGTTGAGCACGCCACCACAAGGAGCGAAAGATCTTTACTTTGCAACTCAATTCTCTCAACCCACATGGGGACAATTCAAGTCTTGCCTGTGGAAACAATGGTGGACATATTGGAGAAGCCCTGATTATAACCTTGTCAGATTCTTCTTCACATTGGCTGCTGCACTCATGGTTGGGACTATCTTCTGGAAAGTTGGCACCAAGAAGGATAGCAGCAGTGATCTCACCATGGTCATTGGAGCTATGTATGCTTCTGTCTTGTTCATCGGAATCAACAACTGCTCGTCGGTGCAGCCTATCGTAGCAGTGGAGAGGACTGTGTTTTATCGAGAAAGAGCAGCCGGAATGTACTCAGAATTGCCATATGCACTATCACAGGTGAATTTGCAATTCCATTTAAACTTATTAACAACGTCTCCATTGATCGATATAGCTCGCAGTTACTGAGAGTTCGTATTGATTTCTTCTTGTGGCAGGTTGTGTCTGAGATACCATATGTTTTTGTTCAAACAACATACTACACACTCATTGTGTATGCAATGATGTCATTCCAATGGACAGCAGCAAAGTTCGCGTGGTTTTTCTTCATCAGCTTCTTCTCATTCCTCTACTTCACTTACTATGGTATGATGACTGTCTCAGTGACACCAAACCATCAAGTGGCAGCCATCTTTGCAGCGACATTCTACGCGCTATTCAACCTCTTCTCTGGCTTCTTCATCCCAAGGCCGAGGATCCCAAAGTGGTGGGTATGGTACTACTGGATCTGCCCCGTGGCATGGACAGTGTACGGATTGATCCTGTCGCAGTATGGAGATGTTGAGGACACCATTACCGTGCCTGGAATGTCGCCTGACCCTACAATCAAGTGGTATGTGGAGAACCATTTCGGTTATGACCCGAACTTCATGGCTCCTGTTGCTATTGTCCTGGTTGCCATCACTTCCTTCTTTGCCTTTGTCTATGCTTATTGCATCAAGACACTCAACTTCCAATCAAGATGAAGAAGTTGAAAGAGAGAAGAGACGGTTCTTGAAGGAGAGTAAATTCAGAAGAGGACATCCATTTGTTGTAGATAATGTAGTAGCAGCAACTATATAAAGTGATCTGCTTTAAATGTGCAAAGAAAGACTTCATAGTAGTATGTTTTTGAGTTAGGAATTAGGGGGAAAATGGGGAATGTGGAACTTTGGGGAATGGATTTTATTTGTAAATGGGAATCTAAGTGTATTCTCTTTTTTGGTTATGTACTGAAGAATGTATTTCTTGTTTTATTGAGTTGTTTTGTACTTTTGTTCCATTCCATGATATATAAATTAGAGATAGCAAATACTCGGATTTAGGACAAATGGTGAGATATAGCTGACGTACACAGCCTTAACTATTTCGGTTTATATTTACTTTCGTGTCTATAGTACTTTCAACTTTCGAGTCGTAAATTAAAATCATTAAAATCATTTCTTATTCAATTGGCTTTTATTCTTTCGAATATCACTTAATATATAGGTACAATAATTTTTTATCCTTTCATTAATATATTACCTTGTATGTTTTACATAACTAAAAGAGTACGATAAAAAATGGTTAAATCAAAATTCTATTAAGCTCTGGGATCCCTTTTAACTAAGGGTCCTCTCAAGTGTACAATAGATCAATTATAGATGCAAACCATCAAAAACCCTCTATACTGTAATACGGTTAAATGATATTCTTAGTATCTGTAAAACATCGAACCCTGATAGAATTTTAGCTACTAATTGGGTAGGCAACATCACAGAACTATCACTATACCAACGTCGGCACCGCTCTTTCCATATTGAACTTATAGCAACAGACTACAAGAGTTTCCCCACCTTCTTAAGTGTGTTGGATCCTCGCTAATAATGCATCGCGCAACTCAACATAGCTTCCCAATCATGGCTGCCGGGGACAATGGCATATTCTGTTAAAGTCTGCTACATTACATGTTGGGTAAAATGGCAGGAAGCAAATAAATGGTCTCTACTTTCCAACCCCCTTGGACACAACACACATGCACTATCAACCACTTTTCCCAAAAAAAAAAAAAAAAAAGCTTGTCTCTTGTATAAACTCGATCCCTAACAATCAGCCATAGAAGCATACTATGTTTAGGGATTATGAAGTTCCCCCAAACCAATCAGACCAAGTGACAGGAGGCAAGGATGGGCGAATCGATTTCCATACCTGCTTAACTGAGAAACGATGCATAGAAGAACCATCCCATGTCAAGGAAGAGCCCTCTCTAGAAATGAAAGATTGAGTGTCCCCTCGAGTTTTGAGAACCCTTTTCCACACCCAAGAACCTACTGAAGTAGGAGAAATTTCCTATGTTGATCTGTGTTTGAGCCTGTACTTTCGAATCCATGCTATCCACAACGATTCCCTACCTATTAGGATATCCCAATTGTGTCGGATGACACAAGCTCTATTCCATAGCTTGAAATCCCTTATCCCTAATCCACCTTCCACTTTCAATAAGACTGCATATTTCCATGCTACAAGAGCATGAGTTCGGGTTCCTATATCACTTACAACCCATAGAAAGGTATTACAGATGGCTTCAATCTCGTGGAGAACCCCTAGTGGAAGCAAGGAAATCTCTATCCAATATTGAAGGACACTTGATATGACAGAAGAAACCAACTGAATACGCCCAGCGTACCTAAGTGACAATGCTTTCCAACCTCGGATTCGAGCTATTATCTTCTCAATCAACGAAGAATAGTATGCTTTAGATAACTTCCATGCAAGAAGTGCAACACCCAAATATTTTATTGGGAAAGAACCAAGCGGGAACCCTGTCCTATCTGCAATAAGTTTCTGGTTCTCTTCATCAATATCCGACTCTTCTCAGGATCGAACTTTAAGCTAGACAACTGATAGAATTCTGCCAAAATGCTCTTAATCCTTTCCACAGCGGACTCAGAGCCAATTAAGACCACAAGGAGGTTATCGGCAAAACACAAATGAGTTACATTCAACGACTTCCAACGGGGATGATAAAGTAAAACCCCTGCACTTGCAACTCTATGGAGCAAACGCGAAAAAATTTCCATGGCTATTGTGAAAAGATAAGGAGACAGGGAATCACCCTATCTCAAACCTTTACCACCAACAAAATAATCACACAAACCCTCATTCAATGCAACACTGAACATTGGAGAAGTGACACAAATCTTTATCAACTCAAAAAAATCAAAAGGTACTCCCATCGCAATCATAGCTTTAAACAAGAATCTCTAGTCGAGTGAGTCAAATTCCTTAATCAAATCAATTTTAACCACACATCTAGATGAAATAGCCATTTTATTGTAGTCTTTAACCCATTCATAAGCCATAAGAATGAATGAATGATATCCCCTATTAGCCTACCCTTCATGAAAGTTGATTGGGATTTACTAATGAGAGATAGAAGGACTTGAACTAACTTATTCTCAAGAATCTTCGTTATACCTTTATAGAGCATATTGCAACAGGAAATAGGTCTAAAATCCTTCATCCTTTCCACATTATCAATTTTAGGAATCAAACTCAAGATAGTAGAGTTTACCTTATGAGGCAAGACACCTAAATGAAAGAATTGTAGCGTTGCATTCTCTACATATTTGCCAACCACATTTCCAGTCTTACTTAAAAAAATTTGTTGTAAACCCATCAGGGTTGGGCCTTGTCTTTAGCCATCGATAGGAACACTGAACGAATTTCTTCTCTGGGAACAATAGCATGCAAAATACCCACATCCTCTGGAGGAAGCTTGTTCCTTAAAAGGCTGCTCAAAGAAACCAATAGGCTGATCAATCACCTCACTGCTTCACCGAGTAATTTCTCGTAGAAGTTAACTGCCATCGTGTCCATCTTCTTCATCTTTGTGACTTCTTTTCCCGCATCAGATAACAAGTGATCAATTGTTTGTCTCTTGTTCCTTATCTTAATTTGCGTAATTATGAAAGCAAGATGCATTCGCATCTCCCTCTACCTCTAGTACCAGTGAGCCCTCACTTCTGCCTATAAAAACTTTCCTATCCTACTTAGCCTCAAAGAAAGCTTTAGCCAATTGTAGTTCCTTCTCAACATTCTCTACTATAGGTTGATCAAGCACCTCAGCCTATGCCTCAGCTAACAATATCCCAACCTCCCTCAGCTAATAAACATGTAGATTGTATAAAAGGATGAGTTCAGTTGGGAGGAATTTTACAATGCTATATAGCATTGGTGCTATAGTTTTTTGCCTTTATGGTACAACTTGAAGTTGTACCTTTAACGTTATGGTACAACTTCAGATTGTACCTATATTATTTTGTACAAATTCTTTTATGGTACAACTTGAACTTGTACCTTATGTGATGGTACAACTTTAAGTTGTAAAGTTGTACCATAACATAAGGGTACAACTTTCTTTATGGTACAACATGAAATTATACATTTAACGTTATGGTACAACTTTAAATTGTACATTAAAGAACCAATACTTTATAGCATAGTAGAAGTGCTCGCTCAATTGGATAGTAAAAACATATATCCAACCATTGCGCACAACATTCGAGTTCAAATGATATCCACAATTGGAAATGTTTTTGTAAACTTAACATGTTTCAATCGAGTAAATGATGAAACTGTGTTAACGAATTTAGCAAATTCTACCAATGTAAAAACTCAAATCGATGGAGTTCTTGATTTTCTCGCACTGAAATCTTCTTTATTTTCATTCTTATCTAAGAAATAAGGTTAATACAACTGAAACACTCAAACTATTAACAGGTCGTTTGGATGTGGAAATCTGAAAGCGTGGGAATTGACCTTACTTTCCACATTATAGAAAACCTAGTAATTGTCAAGTGGAAATTGTCCAAAATTCCATGTTTGGGATGGGTCACAGAATGTGAAAATTGATGGTGTGGTATTTGGTTAAAATACCTATTTGCCCCTTTTCTGTGAATTTGCAATTAAAATGACCTTTAAATAGTTGCATATAACTAACACACATATAGCAAATAGGGAAATCTCCAATCACTAATTCTCGTATTCAATCCTCAAATTGTAAAACCCAATCATTATTGAATTAATAAAATTCATAATAGATCAGCACAACACATGGCCGCCACCATCGTTCTTCTTTTCTTGGACCTCATTTCGATTTGATTGCAATTGTCAGAACAGAAGCGTGCAATCGATAATCCAAACCAACACGAACGAACACAAATTTAACGTGGTTCACTAACACAATGTGTGCTAGCTAATCCACAAGCAGGGGAGAACAAATTTCACTAATTTGAGGAGAGTACAGGTTACAAACCCAAATTTCAAACTGACAAACCAAACAAACTAACCTGACTGACCTTACTACAAACTAGGGTGATGAAGAGTATTTATAGAAATCTTCTCCTAATCCCAAACAGAAAACCAAATACCTTTTCCCCAAACATACAAGGAAAAGGTCAAAATAAAGCCCAATCCCAAACCCAAACAAAATAGGCCCAAAACACCAAACAAACTCAAATCAAACTCAAGTCATATCCTAACAATCTCCACCTTGACTTGAATTCTCTGTCAAATACCATATGTACCAGATGCAACCAATGGTTCCAGATGTACCAGACGCAACCAAAGTTGCCAGATGTACCCAAACGCGATACATATCGCCAGACGTATCCAAATGCGATCGAAACCTCCAAACTCAAACGCGATGCAAATCGCCAAATTCAGATGCAATCAAAATTGCCAGACATAACAAACTCTCCGAATCTCCAAATGTAACAAAATATCCTCCAAACCAGCTGTACCAAAATCTCCCCTGCCTCGAAATTCCCCTAAGGGCGGTCAACAACTCAAACCATTCGGCAAGTCCAACTCATGCTGAGACTTGCCATTCAAAACCATCTTGGTGCACTTATCACCAACAGACCATGTCAAAACAGAACCTTGTAGATTATACAAGGCACCCCGCTTGACAGACAACACTCCACCTTCACCTTTGAAACTGAAACCCTTGCTGTCGAGTAGACTCAAAGATATCAGATTCTTAGTCATCTCTGGAATATCTCTAACATTGTTCAAGGTGCGAACAGAACCATCATGTGTCCTCATCCTGATGGAGCCTCTTCCAACAATCTTACAGATAGCACCATTGGCCATAGAAACATGTCCTCCGTCTATCTGCTCATAAGTTGAAAAACACTCCCTGCTTGGACACATATGATAATCATCTGCAGTATCTAAATACCACACATCCTGATGATGTACTTGTTCATTCACTGCTAAGGCTAAACCATCTTCAAAATCAGAGTTATTTTCTTCCGCCATAGCAGCAGATGATTCCTTATTCTCCTGA